TACCCTATTAAAAGTGGGCAAAGGACTTGAACAGAAACTTTCTAAAGAAGACAGAAGAATGGCCAACAAACATATGAAAAAATGCTCATCATCTCTAATCATCAGGGAATGCAAATCAAAACTACAATGAGATATCACTTAACCCAGTGAGATGGCTTTATCAAAAAGTCTCCAAATAACAAATGCTGGCGTGGATGTGGAGAGAGAGGAACACTCCTCCACTGCTGGTGGGACTGCAAACTAGTTCAACCTCTGTGGAAAGCAATATGGAGATACCTTAACGGATACAAGTGAATCTACCATTTGATCCAGCAACCCATTGCTGGGCATCTACCCAAATGATCCAATGACACTCTACAAAAAAGACACCTGCATCAATGTTTATAGCAGCACAATTCATAATTGCAAGGCTGTGGAAACAGCCCAAGCACCCATCAATCCAAGAATGGATTAATAAAATGTGGTATATGTATACCATGGAGTACTATTCAGCTCTAAGAAACAATGGTGATATAGCACATCTTATATTTTCCTGGTTAGAGCTGGAACCCATACTAGTAAGTGAAGTATCCTAAGAATGGAGAAACAAGCACCAGATATATTCTCCAGGAAACTGGTATTAACTGAGTAGCACCTAAGTGGACACATAGGTACTACAGTAATAGGGTATTGGGGAGGGGGGGAAGGGGGGCGCGTATATACATACATAACGAGTGATATGCGCACCATCTGAGGGATGGTCATGCTTGAGACTCAGACTTGTCGGGGGAGTGGGGGAAGGGCATCTATTGAAACCTTAAAATCTGTACCCCCATAATATGCCAAAATAAAAAAAAAATTTTGCTTGGGAATTCTCAATTATATTAAATAATCTACACTGTTCTTCTATGTTCTGTGAATATATGTACATACTTGTACAACTCTTTGAGATAGGGATTCTTATTCCTATGTTATAGATGTGGAAATCTAGTTAAAGAGAGGTTAAGTTATTGGCCTCCTCCTTACAGGTAAGGAGGTCTGTGTAACGGCCATCAATTCTAGAATCATACTACATGGGTGTGCTTCCTAGTGCCCCTACTTATTAGCCCTGTGTCCTTGGGGACATCATTTAACCTTTCTAAGCCTCATTGTTTTCAGCTATAAAATAGATATGAAAATAATATTCCCTACGGCATAGGGCTGATGTGAGGATATAAGAGACAATCCTATTGAAATACTGAATACAATGCCTGGCGAATAGGAAATTATTAATGAATGCTGGCAGGTGCTCAGGAACAAGGGCTCTGGAGCTAGTCTGCTTGAGTTCAGATGCTAGTTCCACCCTTATAAGCTGTGTGTCCTCTTTTCACCTCAGTTTCCTATGTTTGTAAAATAAAGCGAAGAATGGTACCTACTCCTTAGGTTTCTGTAAGGATTAAATTAATTAATATGTGTAAAGCACTTACAACAGTAGCTAACATATGTTAAGCACCATATGCATTAACTGTAATTGTTATTGGTAAAAAATAAAGGACTTTGAACTGAACTTGTATTTCAAATCCTCTGATGTCTATTCTTTCTTTATGAAATCCGTGTTTCTTTTTTTCATCTTTAACACTTGGGCTTTCTTTCAATAGTCTATGTTAAGTTGAAGAAACAGTTGCATTCTGGGATCTGGCCTGGCCTTTGTTTCGCAAGCCTGTGTGTCCGCTGCTGACGTCCATCTTCACCGCACCTTCTCCTTCACTCTGGGGGGTACAGGTGGCTCTACCACAGCCTCTGTGTCAGCCTGTGACCAGCAGGTACTGCAAGATCCATGGGGAGGGTATTGAAACACCCCTGTCCTGTAATTAGGAAATGAATGTTGTGGACCTATGGATAGCTCTTCTGTGAAGGAACATTGTGAAACCCCAGAGAAGCCAGGTGGGACACTGGAGTGAAGGAGAAGTTCAACTCTGAGGCTCTTGCGCTGGAGCCTGAGGCTCTACCCTGTGGCTCCGGAGCTTCTGCCAGGTCCAGGATACCCCCACCAAGATTCCAGCACTGCACCTGGACCCCAAGACCCCATCCCTGAGTCTCTACCACTGCCACTGTATAGTCAGAATGTCCCAAGGGGGCTCTGTAAGGGACCCTTAAGCCTCAAGCTGCCATTACACTTGGACCAGGTTTGAGCAAACACCTACAACCTAAGTACCCACGACTTCTGCCTAGATAGCCTCACCCAGCTGCCATTGTCACCTCTGCATGGAGACCCTGGGCAGAGCAACCCCCCATCAGCCTCTGTGGAGAGGATCTCACCCATCCCCTAACAACATACCCTATAGAAAAGAAGCCCTATTTGATAAATGGTGCTGGGAAAATTGGATAGCCACATGCAGAAGAATGAAGCAGGACCCCTATCTCTCGCCATGTACAAAAATTAATTCAAGACAGATAAAATACTTAAATGTAAGACATGAAACCATAGAAATTCTAGAAGAAAATGTAGGAAAAACTGTTCTAGACATCAGCCGAGGCAAAGAATTTATGATTAAGATCCCAAAGGCAATCACAGCAACAACAAAAATAAATGGCACTTGAATAAAAAATGTTCTGGACAGCAAAGGAAATTAATCAACAGAACAAACAGACAGCCTACAGAATAGGGGAAAATATTTGCAAACTATACATCTGATAAAGGGCTAGTATCCAGAATCTATAAACAACTCAAACAAGCCAGCAAGAAAAAAACAAACAACCCTATTAATAAGTAGGCAAAAGACATGAACAGAAACTTTGAAAAGAAGATAGACATATGGCCAACAAACATGTGAAAAAATGCTCAATGTCACTCATCATCAAGGAAATGCAAATGAAAACCAAAATGAGATATCTCCTTACCCCCGTTAGAATGACTTTTGTTAAAAAGTCCAAAACCAATAGATGCTGGTGTGGATGCGGAGAGAAAGGAATACTTCAACACTGTTGGTGGGAGTCCAAATTAGTACAACCTCTATGGCAAACAAAATGGAGATTTCTCAAAGAAATAAAAGGAGACCTAACATTTGATCCAGCAATCCCACTACTGGGTATCAGTAGGAAAATAAGTCATTTTATCCAAAAGACACCTGCACTCAAATGTTTATTGCAGCACAATTCATAATTGTGAAGATGTGGAATCAACCCAAGTGCCCATGAATTCATGGGTGGATTAACAAAATGTGGTATATATGTGTGTGTGTATATATATATATAGTATTTATTAATATTTTGTTAATATAGATAGATACCACAGAGTACTACTCAGTGATAGAAAGGAGTGAATTAATATATTTTGCAGCAATTTGCCTGAAACTGGAGACCATTATCCTAAGTGCAGTATCTCAAGAATGGAAAAACAAACACCACATGTACTCTCTAATAATTTGGAACTAATTCATGGACACACATGGGCACAGATAGAAGTAAAAATCATTGAAAATGAAGAAGGGGGGTGGTGGTGAAAAGGGTAAAAAACCTACCTTACAGGTACAATGGACAATATAATATTCAAGTGATGGGCACACTTATAGCGCTGACTAAAGCATTATAACGTTATCAGTATAAGAAAACCATTTGTACCCCCTTAATATTTTTATATAAAAATAATTAAAAAAGAAAAGTTGCAATAAAAAGTAACCTACCCCCATCCCCTTTCATATAACTCCCCAAATCCCAGATGCCAAAATTGAATATGTAAAAGCTAAACATATCCTGTTTTTAATTGCCTTCTAGAGAAGTTGAACAAAGTGAAACGGAGTTTTGCATGAGGCTCTCCAGCTTTTCCTGTGTCTATGAAAGATTTCTCTGAGAAAGAGAGATCACTGGTTTTTTTAGTGTTAAGAACTGTGCTAAGTCTTTAAAGTAATTAATTTAATCTTAACAACTCTACAAAGTAGATATTAGCGTTGTCTCTATTTTGCATTTGAGGAATCTGAGACCCAGAGAAGTCATTCAGTTAGGAATTCATGAGGTTGGCATTTGAATTCCATCTGACACCTGAGCCCAGGTTCTTGCTCATGACATATATGATCAATCTTCTAGACACTCACAAAATTCCTAGTTACAAGATACATGCAGCAGAGCTTCTTATCTGCTTTGGGCACTACATGGAAAGACCCAGATTTTTGTCACTTCCACTGTAGGTAAAGATGTAAAAGGAAACGGCTTTTAAATGTGGTTGTATATTTTATATTTATTTGGTTAAGGGTAAAGAGTCTGAAGATAACTTGGGGTCCACTAGATCTTGAACACTGAAGATATTTTATGTTATTGCTAATTAAATAGATACTAACTCATTAGTAGTTTGTGTCACCTGAGTTTTACCGTAGCTAAAAATATTTATCAGAATTTGAAAGATTGTTCTTTCTGTATTCAGTCTTAGACAAATCATTTTTAATTGAAAATGGTTTAGATTTTTAGATTTATGGGTTATTTAAAATTGTACCAGTTAATGGAGCACAATATTATTTCTGTTTCCATTTAAAATTTTTAATTATTATGGATACATAATAGTTGTATGTATTTATAGGGTACATATGATATTTTGATACAGGCATATAATGTGTGATAATCAAATCAGGGTAATTGGGGTATCCATCATGTCAAGCATTTATCATTTCTTTGTGTTAGGAATATTCCAATTCCACTCTTTTAGTTATTTTAAAGTATACCACAACTTGTTGTTGACTGTAGTCACTTTGTTGTGCTATCATATATTATTCATTCTATCTAACTATATTTAAATATATTTTTGTACCCATTAACCATGCCCACTTTATACCCTCTCCCCACTCCCCTTCCCACCCTCTGGCAATCATCATTCTACTCTCTGTCTCCATGAGATCAATTGTTTTAATATTTAGCTCCCACATATGATGAAGCACAATATTCTAGATTAAGATCTTACCTTACTGGGGAGCTGAGATATATAAAACATTTAGATCTTGTAAGGAGGTAAAATTTTCACTTCAGATCATCCAATTATTTTTTCATTTTAACAGGGAATTGATATGGGGGATAGATGGTCTTTTCATAAGTTAGTTGATGAAGAAAGAAAATCTGGCATGTTGTGGAGATATCTGATAGCTGGAGGCATAGCTGGCACTTGTGCTCGGACGTGCACGGCGCCATTGGATCGCCTAAAGATCCTGATGCAGGTACCTTGCATAGTTCTCGTGTATGCATTGTAATGTGAATAATATTTGGTGATTTTCAAAAGAAGGATTTCAGAGGTGTTAATACTATTCTTTGATACTCTCATGTGCAAACTACTTCATTGTCTAGACTCATTTATTCTCCTAGACTCCTAGACATTATTCTCCTAGACATTATTCTCCTAGACATTATAATGTCCTAGACTCATTTATTCAACAAGCTGCCAGGCACTGAGCTTGTCTTGAAGGTACAAACCACAAATAATACATCATTTTCATCCATATGCATTTTAGAGTTTAGTGATGGGGACAGATGTGTAAACAAATAATTAAACACAGTTTGATAACATAGCACTAATGTTCTAGGGAGGGTCAAAATTAAAGAAGTCTCCTTTTTTTGAGGGTGTTGGGGGTGTACCTAGACCATTCTCTGATTGTTTCCATGACATGGAAATTGTGACACCAAAAGACAGAGACTGGTCAAAGAGTTGCACTCACTCTTTGTTCCTTACTAAATGCAGGGTCCTATAGGTGGAATTCTTTTTTTTTTTTTTTTTAATTTCAGGTTATTATGGGGGTACAGATTTTAAGGTTTTGATAAATCCCCATTTCTCCCCCTCCCCCCACAAGTCTGAGTCTCCAGCATGACTATCCCTCAGATGGTGCACATCTCACTCTTTATATATGTATATACCCGCCCCCCTCCCCCCTGCCCAATACCCTATTACTGTAGTACCTATGTGACCACTTAGGTGCTGTTCAGTTACTACCAATTTGCTGGTGAGTATATGTGGTGCTTGTTTTTCCATTCTTGGGATACTTCACTTAATAGTATGGGTTCCAGCTCTAACCAGGAAAATACGGGGCGGGAATGGGTGGAATTCAAGTATTCAGGCAAGTGGAACCCAAAAGAAGGCTGCATGGCAGTTCTAATTTCAGACGATTTAGTTTGAAACTAACAAGAGTAGTGAAAGGCAAAGAGGGATTATATAATGGTGAAGGGCACACTTCAACAAGAAGAGTAACATTTTAAATATATATGACCCAACTTAGGGGACACCAGTTTCATAAAGCAAACCTTACTGGATCTAAGCAAATGGATTAATAGCAACTCACATAATCACCGGAGATTTCAACACCCACTGACCGGCACAAACAGATCCCCAACAGAAAATTAATAAAGAAATAATGGAACTTAAACAAAACCTTGGAACAAGTGGTCTGACTGACATCTACAGACATTCTACCCACAATCCACTGAATATACGTTCTTCTCACAGCAGTCACGGGACATTCTCTAAGATTGACCATATCTAGGACACAAAGTAAATCTCAAGAAATTTAAAAAAATAGAAAATCATACCATGTACTTCTCAAATCACAGTGGAATAAAAGTAGACAATCGAACCCTAACAGAAACACACATTTCTACACAAAAACGTGGAAATTAAACAACCTGCTACTAATGATTACTTCAAAATGAAGAAATCAAGATGGAAATAAAAATTCTATACCTCTACACTGCTTGTGGACTGCAAACTAGTTCAACCTCTGTGGAAAGCAATATGGAGATACCTAAGCGATACAAGTGAATCTACCATTTGATCCAGCAATCATTGCTGGCATCTACTCAAAAGATCCAATGACACTCCTAAAAAAAGACACTGCACTCGAATGTTTATTAGCAGCACAATTCATAATTGCAAGGCTGTGGTAACAGCCCAAGGGCCCATCAATCCAAGATGATTAACAAAATGTGGTATATGTACACCATGGATACTATTCAGCCTCTAAAAAAACCAATGGCTGATATAGCCACATCTTAA